GGCTCACGTGAATGCAACAGATATTGTTATGGATCCATATGCTGGTGGACATACTTCGGGCACCAAAGGTTATCGTATCTGCCACAAGATGAAAAATCTCAGTTATTCGTGAGCGTACATCGCGTATCAGTTTCAGGCACATGTTAATCGATTATTCAGGTTTAATTTATTCACTAGCCACATTAGCAGTCAGGCGAATATGCTAACCCAGATACTCTTATGGAGCTGCGTTTCCCCAAAAGCAATGTAATAAATTCCATTGGGTCGAATATGGCTACGAGACTGCAGAAAAGATGCTTCATTTGTTCGCGACTAATGGCCAGTGCTTCCACCACGAAATTGCTTGATGATTCAAATTCCGCCCATTGGTTTAAAACCCAACGTTTAGATTACCCATGACTTAACGGCGGTGTGACTGACTCGCAGATAAACGGAATATAACACTAACATTCATTCAAGTACGGATTCACAACCACATGGTCGCGTTAGTTATTTCGCGGAGGGTCAGGGGATTCGGTAGACAAGTTTGGATGACTGGTGCACGTGAGTTAGTCCTATTACATTGTAGTCNCTCACTGGTAACTCCCAACAAACGTCTGCGTGTTTACCCATCCGGCGTTCTATCTAGGATGCCCACGGATGTAATCAGCTTCCCAAACCTGCGCAAAACTCTCATAATCTGTATACCCATTAATCATAGGTTGTTTATTCTGAGTATTCCATAAATAACGCTGGGTAGATACATGGCACATGAAGGAATCAGTGTGCTTTAAGGAGAACTACCACGGTTTTAAACAGAATCTCCTACAACTTCTGTGCTAGCATCTCTGCATGCCACGGAGAGGCGATTAGCGACCAAACGACCACTTTAAAGTTTCACGGCGATCGCAATTCCGTTGTAAGTGTAGAATGAAAAGTATGTTTCTTTCACATTTCTAGTAGAGGTAAAAAGTTCACGGATAGAGCAGTGTTTGAAAACGTGCGCTGGAAGTAGCGCTGAAAACAATCATGAAAAATTCACTGTTAGGAGTTGTTGGGGAGGTGGGTTATACTTACTGGCTTACTTTTCAAGAGGTCAACAATCTATCCCACATTTATCACTCTCTTTTTTATGACCAGCAAGTACAACAAAATTTGTGACATACATATTTGTACGCGTTTGGTCGGTCTCCGTCACACGGTGAGGGTAAACCGGACAACCGGGAGTTTGATTCAGTCCTACTGCACAACGCTTTGTG